ATGTGATGGTGATTGATTTTGAAAGTATTTTTATTTAGAAATTTATAAAAATATATTTTTATATTTTTTTAAAAATTATTTTTAATATTAACACATTAAAACGATATAAAAATACTAAAATACATACCAATTTAAAATAAAAATAAATTTAATTTTTTAAAAAATTAAATTTATTTTTATTTTAAATTGGTATGTATTTTAGTATTTTTATATCGTTTTAATGTGTTAATATTAAAAATAATTTTTAAAAAAATATAAAAATATATTTTTATATTTTTTTAAAAATTATTTTTAATATTAACACATTAAAACGATATAAAAATACTAAAATACATACCAATTTAAAATAAAAATAAATTTAATTTTTTAAAAAATATTTTTAAAACTCAAAAACAAACAAAACTTTGGAATGGAAGACAAATGAGAATATATTATCTTTCATGTAACAACTACATTAGAAAAATCACCATGAAATTAATAACAGTATTCCACCATGTAATTCCACTTCAATCACACACACACATATATTTTACAAAATCATTCAAATCACACCAACCCCTTGTATAATATTCTAAGGTTAAAATGAAATAGCTGACTGTGTAGAAGGACACGACTTTTTCAAGGAGTACAAGCGCCATATTGTGTGTTTACCTTTCTTCTTCTTCTTCTTTTTTAACCTGAGCATGGTAGGATTTTCATTGAAGGAGCTCCATTTTTCACGAAAACAATCATGCACGAGTTGATCAACTCTGCCTCTCATCCAGAAAGGAGTGACAATCAGCAGAGAATACCTAGTGAGTGCCACTCGCTTGCTCAGTATTCAACTCATCGAATTATTCAAAAATCAAAGAGCCTTACGTGCGTGAAATTCTTTTCACATTTTGGAGGAAGGGATTGCATAGCATGAGGCACGTTCCAATATATTTTGTGATGAGAAAAAAAAATAAAATAAAAAAGCTCAAGAGGGGTCAATAATCTTATTGTCAATGATATTTAAGCTCAGTTCCTAAACGAAACAGGGAGATCCATGATTTTTTTTAAATTGTTTTTTATTTAAAAATTATATTACAATAGTTGTTATTTTTATTTTTAACATTGGCTTGTTAAAGTTATTAAAAAATATTTATTTTAAAAAATACTTTTAATAAACATCAAAAAACAAAAGTTACTAATACAAATGCACCATTTGTTTTTGCGCTGCAAATATATTTTTTAAAAAATTAATTTTTTTAAGTTAATTTTTTTAATAATTTTAAATTATTTTGATGCAATAATAATAAAAATAAATTTTATAATTCAAACTGGTTTATATCACAGGACTGTACAGGTTTTAAAAGCTTATGGCGATTGTGGCCATTGAAAAGGAGGGAGGGGGGCCAGGGGGTAATGTCACACAAACGAAGATAAGTTATACGGAGAATTACGTGTTCATCGACAACCCAATCGTGAGGCAGGGTTTCGTCTTGATTGTGTTTCGGACTAGAATTTGTAAGAGAGCAGGCCTAAAATCTCAACAACAAATATTTCCTCAGCCCAACAAAAACTCTTATGGCTCGCTACCTTCTGGCCCTTTTTTAGTGGGCAATGTATGCTTTCCTGGCCATGCAACCGTCTATTTTGGTCTTCGAGTTTTCGAAATTCGAGTCACTCTGTATTCACTTGCTCCGTGTTGTTATTACTAGTGTTGTCCGGGAAGGCAAAGACACGGTCATGGAGGTTAAGGAAGATGAAGGGACTATCAAAACAGCAGTGATTGAGGTAGTATCTTCACCATCTGCTGATGAGACCCCGATCAGACCCATATTTTGTTTGAATAAAACAAACGTGGAAAGCCTTAGAAAGTTAGAGGAAACTGAGGATTGCTTCATCCTTGATTTTGATCCTTCTGAAATTGACACTTATATTAGCCGTTTCTCCACTCTCTCCGTCTACTCCTTCAGTGATGATGATGGTGATGGTGGTGACCTCTCTGTTGTTGCTGAAAAAGGCCAGGTCCTTGTTTTTTCTTTTTTTTTTTGGCTAGAATAAAGGATTTTGCTTCTTTTTTATTCTTGATGGGTTAAAAGGTTTTGATCTTTGTTGGGTCTTGTTGCTGTATAGGTGGCTTGTAGGGATTATCCACACTCAAGGCATCTTTGTATCAAATTCCCGTTTGATAAGACCCCACATGAGAGCTACTGTGAACTGGTAACTGTGTTTGTGGTTGGATTCTTATGGTGTGGTAAGGATTGGATTTTTAGATGGTGTTGGCTTTTAATTTCGTTGATTCTTTTTTTATTTGATGCAGTGTTATTGCTATGTTTGTGATTGTGCTGCTCCATGTAAGGACTGGAAGGATTCTGAAGCAGCTCATTGCAATGCTTCAGAGAAAATTGGTGATTGGAAGGAACAAAGGTGGTTGAAGCGAAAGGAAGAGATCAAACTTCCAAATTCATAGGCTTTCTGTTGTTTGCTTCTGGTATTCGACACTTTTCATGGAACAAACTGATCCTTTTGATGCCAATTAGCTAGATTCATGCTTAGAATATCATGTCTTGCTGCCAGGGGCTTGATGTCAATATGTTGGATGTGATAGTGTAGAGAGGCATCTGTGAGATGCTGTTATTGTCTGTTATATTTTAATACTAGTTTGAAATGGAGATGGTTCAGCATGGTGTTTGGCTACATACCAGTAGCCATGGGCAATGGCCATTAACTATTCTAAATCTACTCTGCAGTTCTTCATATTTCTCTGAATTGCCTGAACCCTCGCTCGTATTTCAAGAGAGTGCATCATAATTACTTAATTGAACCTTTTATCCCTCATGACAATGAACGCTCAAATTATGGAACTTTGTTCATAATGGGAATTGTCACAGCTTCAAACATATTGTTTTGAGCTCCTTTCGCAGAAATTGAAGCAATTTTTTAGTGATCAGCCATGTTTCTTTCTTGCTCTTCTTGATTCTTGAATGAACTTATTGGCAAGTTTGTAAAATATAGTAGCTTCATTTTGTATAATATAGTAGTCATTTTGCATATTTTAAGGTAACATCGAGAAACTTGCACAGGTAAACTTAAGAGATTGAATAAACCCAGGTAAACTTAGACACCTGCTTCACGACTCTTTTACTGCTGAAGCCTCTGATGTATCATGTTTCCGTTCAGAGTAGGAGGGAATTAGGCTTTTTAGTTTTATTAGTGGTTAATTGCAATAATTAGCTGTCCAGCATGTATGTTGTGGAATGTGACCACGAAGATACTCGGATAGTGATAGATTGAGCAGCCATGATGCTTAACTAGTGCCTTTCCTTCAAACCTTCGACTTTATGGCATTGTTGGTTAGCGCGTAGAAGTGATGTTTTGATATTAATGGAATGCTGAACAAGTATGCTGAATTGCAAAACTGAAATGGCTTAAATCTGTGTTTTGCATTGGTGAAATGGTATTGTAATTTGTTGAGCAACTGGTCTCTGGAACAAAAGACAGTCAACAAACTTTGACTAGTGAAATTTATTCATCTTGTAAGCTACATTTGATTGATTTGGTTTCCTTTTTTGTTAATCATTGATGGCCATAATTTGGAAAACTGGTATCTGTCTATACCTGTGTCTGGGGGGTAATTGTTTTCCTTCAGCACTTTGCACTTCAATCTGTTGTTGCATCTGCATCTTTTCGGGCATAGTTCACTGCATCTGCAATCTGAATACAATTATAATACATCTGCAATCTTATTACAGTAATACATCTCAAAATTCTGTCATACAAGATAGCTTCTGTCAATTTGGTATCCGAAGCCTGTCTTTTTCAATCTTTCTCGGTGATTCTTACCTTAGATGCTTAGACTATATGATGTAAGGTTCTACATGGTTTGGGTTCAAGGTTATTGTGGTTTATGCATCAAACTTTAAGTTCCTCGAACTAAAGATCTTTTGAAAGAAAGGAGATATTAGTAGGAGTCGATCCACAACTTATTGGCTGCATAGTTGGAACCCATGTCCATGACTTCCCTTCGCTGTCCTTGAAGTGAAAACCAATTCATGACAAATTTCATGAATTCCCTTTGTTCTAAGAGTTATGATAGAGAGAGACCACCTTACATAATTATTGTATACGAAGTTAATTAACTGAGACGAGGAGGTTTTTGAGCCACCAAAATGTTGGGAAATTTGTTGTTGAAGACTTGAAGTGGTATGAACCTGCTGATCTTGTCCAATTGATTGTGTCGGGCGGACTCGCAACCGATCTTGGCCCTCAACCACGATGTAATTTCTTTAACAAGCTATGATAAAGCATTAGAAAAATCTCTTTAATTTCACTTGAAAAAAAACGTTTACCCTTTAATAATTGTGTTAATGAACTAAGATGCACGTAAATCAAGCAAAATAGTTTGTTGGGTAAGCTATGATTGTAAATGGACATTCATGTATCAAAATATATGTTAACATGAAAACAAAATAATTATTTAAACTCAACTGAAACCATATTGGGTATTGATTTTTGGCACTTCAACCTTACTTCACTAGGTTTGAGTACTCTCAAGTATTCATATCTGGATCTTAACTTAACTTAAAACTTGAACTTAAATATTATAATTTATGATCATTAATTAAATAATTAGCTAGGCATATACAAGATTTTTTTCAAACTTGAAGTTTATTTATTTATTTTAGATTGGATTCGAGCTGAATTTTAAACTAAACATAAGTTCAGTTTAAATAAATTAAAATTTACATCCACAAAACCTAAATTTTTAGCTTGGAGTTTTACTCAAACTTGATGAATCTAAAAATCCCCTACCCATTTGGTCTATTCAAGTTAATATCCATCAGATTTTGTATGTGAAATAACCCTCCTTCACTATAGGCAAAGAAAAACACAAAAGTACTGTATAGTGTTTTTTTCCCTCAATAAAAGACATTCCCCCCACCCCCCAAAAAAAAAACTAATAAAGGCTTCTTGTGGAGATTAAAATTAAGAAATGGGCTAAAGAGGAGGACCATTTTGTTTAGCCCACAAAATGAGAGAGGCAGCAGCTATAAAAGAGAACTTCTATCCCTACCCTCGTCACTCCTCACTCCTCACTCCCTTTCATTATCCCAAAAAACGAGTAAGGCAGGTACAGCAGCCAAAACTATGTCACCCGGTCCCGTCGTTGAGGCTGAACCCGCCGCCGCCACCACCGCTGAGGAGGTCTCCTCCACTGTGGAAGATACACAGCAGAAGAAGCCTCCTCAGGTCTTATTTTTGTTTGTCTTTATTATTTGTAGTTTCTTGTTATTAGTGTAAGTTAATACTGTGTGTCGATTCAAAAGCAGGATGTGGATGAACCTGTGGTGGAGGACGTGAAGGAAGATGAGAAGGAAGAGGATGACGATGAGGATGATGAGGATGACGATGATGAAGATGATGACAAGGATGATGATACCCCAGGTACTCCCATTTATCTCTTCTCTTCTTGGCTTCTTCTTCTTCTTCTTCTCCTTTTGTTATCAGCTTATTTGATATGTGTGTTTTGTTCTGCGAGCAATTATTATGATTTGTGAATATGTTTTCTTTATGTTGACCTTTTGTTATCTGTCTTGAAGTTGCTTTATTGGGTTTATTTTTAGCTCTTGTGTTTGTTTTCACTGCAAATGTTGTGTCTTTGATTGAGTTCTGTTGTTCTGTGAATCCATGTTTTCTTTTGTAGCAAGGTGTCACATTGTGAACTGCCCATGTGGTGGATTAGATAGAGGATTGGACTGAATTCTTATGGGAGGAAATTGAATATTGATATATGAGAGAAGATATCTCTGTGGCCTGATGCGTAACAGTAAATTTTTTTCCAGTTATTGTACTTTTCCTGGGATAACAGTCCTTGAAGTCTCTATCTTTTCATGTTTTAGTTTCTTTTACTAGCTGTACTTCTTCGCATACACTGTGTGTGATGAATGCTTTCAGTTCGTCTGTTTTCTTAAAGTGCTTTGTTTATCTAGTATGCATTGCAGCACAGTTTTGGCTGCTATTATGTGATGCTTTTAAGATTTTTTTGTTAAGAATGTTTCCAGATACATTTTGGTTTAGGTGAATGTTAGTCTTGTTTGAAAAAGACATCATTTTTCTTTAAAGTTAATGATAGGACTCTTGTCTGGTGCAGGTGCTAATGGGAGTTCCAAGCAGAGCAGAAGTGAAAAGAAGAGTCGCAAGGCAATGTTGAAGCTTGGCATGAAACCTGTTACTGGTGTTAGCAGGGTCACCATCAAGAGAACCAAAAATGTATTCTTTTGCTGTATTTTTTTGTGTTCTTGTACGTTATCTGCCTACATGATACTGGGACTCAAACAATTTTTCTGACGGGCCTTTCAGATACTGTTTTTTATCTCAAAGCCTGATGTCTTCAAGAGCCCAAATTCTGAGACCTATATCATATTTGGAGAGGCAAAGATAGAGGATATGAGCTCTCAGCTGCAGACACAGGCTGCTCAGCAGTTTAGGGTGCCAGACATGTCATCTATGTTCCCAAAATCAGATGCTTCTACTGCAGCTGCTGCTGCACCAGCAGATGAAGCAGAGGAAGAAGTCGATGAGACTGGGGTTGAGCCTAGGGACATTGATCTTGTTATGACACAGGCTGGAGTTTCTAGGAGCAAGGCTGTCAAGGCTCTCCAGACGAACAATGGGGACATTGTCAGTGCTATCATGGAGCTTACTACTTAGGATGGCTCCCTGGTTACTCTCTTATTTTATGTTGACGAGTTCTTGGAACAATTTAGTCATGGTAGTCAAATTGGCTTGCCATCTATGAGGTCGCTAATTATCCATTGTTTTTGTCAGATACGAGATTATTACCTATTGCGGTTTTTCTTTAGTAGCAAGCTCTTATTGTGCTCTTTGGCATGCAAAGTGATATGATCAACAATTACTAGCTTAGAAAATCCTCTGTCAAATATTATCCTGCCGAAAAAAGATGCTTGCTTACGTTGACCTTATTTTCAATCTACTTCCAATTCTATGCACAGCGTCGATTATAGACATCCAATCACGACACTGGGCCTCAGCAGGTGGAGGCACCATCAATGATACAGTAGGCTTCCACTCGTCATCTCACAAGAGTAAAAGCAGCCAGCTTCGAGCTATGGAAGGCTTCTGGTTCTAAGAGCGACTGAGAATATGGATGTGGTGAAATCTAAAATCATTGTTTATACTTTTATCTGAAACAATCACAGCAGCAAAATAAATGAAAGGGATGCCTCATCCTAACTTAAAGCCTCCAGAGCAGCCAATAAAAAAGGGTTAGCTTAATTTTCCAGCCTTTAAGTTTACTTCTTAAAAATTATTAGTTCAGAGTCGAATCACTAAAATCTTATTTAGTTATTAACTTTAAAACTTTAAAAAATTAATCTAGCCATCTGCCAGGTATCTTTATGAATGTTTTCGAGGCTAGAGAAGTTCTGCCATCTCTTCTTCCTGCAGGAACATCATAGCAAGGCGGTAGAGCCTGACCAAACCGTGCAAGCCTGCTTGCTACTGGAATACTATACCTTGCAACGTATGCGAGTATCTCAATATTAGATTAATTACCGCATGCATTTATGCAAGCTGTCGTGAGAAAACAGGTGGAGGTCTGTTCCATGAAAAATTGGGATTTTTGCATAATGATTTGCCTTATAATATTATAAGTTAATGCAGGCAGGAGCCAGTTAGAAAGAAATCAAAGTGAGCTGACATGATTAAGAATGCAAGAAAATTCAGTGAATTTAAATTATATATATTTTTAAAAAATTAATTAAATTAAATTCAATAAAATAGATTTTATGAATAATAAGTACCAAAAATGAATACGATTATAAGAACGAAACAAGTATAGAAAAAGCACAATGTGAATACTCCATATGGTCAGAAAATCAAATCATTTGAAATCGAATATTTTATATGTTAATTGATAATTTCTAAATTCATAATTTTGATTGACATCATTTCTGAACTATTCTTTCCGTATCACAACTCTTTAATTTCAAAGAAATTAAGTTTTATAAATTCTTTTTTACCACAAGAATTAAGTATACTTACATAGGACAAGAATCCCTTGATGAATGAATTATGGTGTAATTTTTGTACTTCAATTATTTTTTATTTATCGGTTCATTTTTATGTATGTTGGGAAGTTCATTTCATAATATGGTTCAAAACAGTTTTGATAGTTTCTAAATAATTATGTATATAAAGAATAATAAAAGAATTGATATCTAAAAAACAAATTCAACGCATTTTATTTAGGAAACCTCTGACAACAATCCCTTGTTGACCCAACTTATTGAAAATCACATAGTAAATAGGATAAATCTTCAAATGACAAAGTATAGTACATGCAATAACGGCCTTCTGACTTCGAATCTTCGAGCTTCAAATAACTTGTACAACAGTTCAGCTAGCTCCTAGCTTCAGGTGTTGATGACCCTACAATTTGCCCGAATCTCTCCTTTGTTTCCTGTCAGAACTTCAATCTGGCCCATTTTCACCATTGCTGCAGCAAATTTTCTCTTCCAACCTGAAGGACTCCTTGCATTCGATTTCACTTCACTTGCTGTTGCTGGGTTGGTCAGGAGAATTTGATCTGAACTGAACAAGCCTCGGTTTGCCAGTATATCCTTGTAGTAATTTACATCACTGATGGTCGGAGTACGAGTGTCCATTGGCACCTCCAAGTTAGGATCTGTACTATCTTGCGGGCAACTCTTCCTCAGACTGGCTGCATACTGGGAATCTAAACTTGGGTCTTGGCTATTTGTGCCACTGAAGTTGTATAATCTATAAGTGAAGGCGCTGCAATGTGAAGTACCGATGGTGTGTGCTCCTGTTTTGTCACATGGATATATAGTGTTAATTAGCACGGATTTCTTGTGATTAATAAGTTGATAATGATCTAGTTGTCTTAATTAAGGATAAATCAAAGTGGTAGTAGGAGAAGTTGAGGCTAACTAGCTGCTAGCTATATACCAGAAAGTGTAACCATTTCTTCTTGAGTTAAACCCTTGTCTGAAAATCTCCGAGTGAGTTGATCGACATTAAAGTTTGGGGGAGGTAAGTTGGAAAAAGTCTCCGAGGCTAGTGAAACTATGCCATCTCTTCTTCCTGCTGGAACATCATAGTCAAGCCCTCCAGTCTGCAAAAAGAAATGAAAAGGGTTGGAGCATGTTTACGTACAAATTTAATAATTTCCTAAGGAATCCGTAAAGGGAAATGGCTGAGCTCAAGGTTTTTTCACTTACTAAATCGAAGCTATCCCTCGCTGCAAATGCGAGAATATCAGCACACGAAACGACTCCTTTACACTCGGCTTCTAGTCTAGCCTTTGCGTCGTCAATGACTTCAAAGCCACGCAGACTAGGGAAGTTTGCAGGAGAGTCCTTTTCTGCTTTGTTTGACGAGGTGGAGTCAAGAAGCACAGATCCTTCGCAACCCTAAATTAAATAATAATAAAACTGAGAGGCCTAATCAAGTTATAATAAATAACTTTCGAACAAGCACAAGCACATACCCTAACAAAACAATCATGAAAGTGCAGTCTCACAAGACCAGCAGCCACCCCTCTATCCTGCCTGAGAGCATCTCTAACAGCACCTCTCACAATGGACTCAGCCCTCCTGCATGAATTTCTATAGAACCCTACTTGAAGATGAGATTGGACACTTGGACAAAACAGGACTGCCACCCAAAAAGTTACACACATTTGAGTTAGCTTCTTGGAACTCACCATTATGCCCACAATTTTGTAATAGCTACTTGTATCCTTAATTCCCCACACACTTGAAAGCTTGCATAATCGTATGCTATTTATAGTCAAAGAAAGGTAACTCCATTCCACATTCGTCCGCGTTGATTCTTATTTTAAGCAGTTTTTGGTGCAAGTTGAGAAGCCACCGGGCAGGTAAAGTGCTTGCGCGTTCATGGCCAACTTCGAGGTAGCAATTAAATATGATTGTACTGCAATCAGACCATGCAAAAAGAATTGCGAGGTGATCAAAGAAAAGAAACCTGATGTTTTTGACTAATTGAGGGTGCGACAAATTTAGCTACAGAGGGGGAACATTCTGCGTGGCTAAAGATATTGGAAGCTTCTAGATATATATAATTGTGTTCGAATTTTCAAAATCTTGCCAAGTAATTTAGTATGTTTTAAATTAGTGTTTAGGGAATGATATGTTAGGATTCGCTATTATTAAAATATTTTAATTGCCAATGTTGGAGTTAACTCAAAAGTAAAGTATTATTAGCTCGTAATTATAGTTAACGAGTTGTGCTTTCTCATTTTAATAACTTCAATAAGAAATCTACTAGATATATTACAGCTGGTCTGTAAATAGTTTCATAAAATCATAAAAACAAACATGTTCTGGTTTATTTATTTACTTGTTATTGCATCTTTTATTTGTTTGCATGGAATATTGCATTACTGATAAACTCAAATTCGTGCAAATTGGATAATATTATGATTGATATGCAAGATTATTAAAGAATAATGTAAAATTAGTTATTATTGCTTAGATTTTTAAATGATTTTTTTATATATAATATGAAAATTTTAACAGATAAAATGAATCTTCCTATATATCTTATCTTTTAAAATTAAATAAAAGATAATTGAGAGTTAATTTATGCCAGTTTAGAAATCAAATGAATTTAACTTGAAAATTATATTAATATCAAGCATTTGATTTGAATTTTTTTTTTTTTTTAATGGATATGGATAAACTATTCCTGAACCATATCGGTAGCTGACCATATAGACGTTGCAGCACTAAACAATGGTAGTAGCCGTAGAGCCCTCGCCGGTGGAATTTCCTTCTTCAAAAGTACAAAGACATTATGAAAGTACAGAAAGTACCACACGTTCATATAAATATGAAAAGACCAGCAATAATGAGAAAATATATACCACCTGAATTAGTCCCACAGTTTGTCAAAACCATGTGCTAGTGATTTCATTAAGCATTTACTATTGTTGGAAGTGTGACTTGATATTTTTTCTTTAGTATTTTTTTAATTATAAATTTAATTCTTTTATTTTTTATTTTTTTAATAAAATCTTTACTGATTTTAAAAATAATATAAGTAATTCGAGTTTTTTATTCATTATTCTTTAATTTTACTTTTATGAAAAATATAATATTTTTAATTAAATTAATTAATTAAATACAAATATAAAATGTCCACTTCACAATATGATTAAATATAATATAAAGAGATTTTTTCATTGCCTGAAACTCCTTTTTTTTATTGGACGAAAAAGAAAAATTTAGGGCAGCAGACATCGTAACGCGGGCTAAAGACAGGATCCATGTTCGAGATTCTTGAATTGTAGTTGATATCTGTGCTTTTATTACATTATGCTGCAACTTGATGTGAAATTATTAACTATATATATATATATATATTCGCAATAGAGGAAGAAGTGTTTCATTTGCTTACAACAACTATATATGCGTGTATGTGATTAAAAAAAAAAAAATTATATTTTGTAAGACAAGGTCATTTTTTTCCTTTTCAGTACCTTAAACAAAGCTACAGTTTATTAATATTGTTGCTGTTGTTGAAAGTGGAACAGGTTCCTGGTAGATTAATTCCAAACAATGCATCACAGCTAAGCATATTCTAAACCAAAAACAACTTTAATTAGAAAGCAACAAGTACTCAACACAAAGAAAAATAGGTTATTTTTCCTCCATATGTGATCATTCAATGTCTTCCGACTAAAGTCTAAGAAGAACAAATATAATAAATATATATAGGAATCATAATTAACTAATTAAGTTTTTTTTTTTATTATTACTATAAAGGAAAGGGTCGAAATTACATCTTCTAAAAATAGGAGAGGAGTGACATTTGACCCTACAATT